CGCTTTTTTTGTATATACAATCCTGAATAGTACAGGGAGGAGAAAAAAACAGATGTGATTGTTTATATTCCTTCCAGAAACTGGAGAACATTCTACAGTTCATGTGGTTCTTGGTTATTCTTGAAATAGTAGAAGAAATAAGAAGGCAAACTTAAAAAGAGACAACCCCCCGGATTGAAGTAATTTTATGTGCAGGGATACCCACAAAAGATGAGACTTAGGAACGGCTGTACCGAATATATTCCATCTTTTTATTACATTGTTAAATCATAATTTTATCCGTAACATTTTTTAAGTGAAAGACCAAATTGAACCTTTATGTTCAACCAATATAGTCTCATACTTTGCGGGTAAACCTGTATTCAACCAGTATAGTCTCATACTTTGCGGGTAAACCTGTATTCAACCAGTATAGTCTCATACTTTGCGGGTAAACCTGTATTCAACNGGTTTAAAGATTATGGATAGAATAGGTTTAAAGATTATGAATAGAATAGGTTTAAAGATTATGGATAGAATAGGTTTAAAATTATGTATAGAATAGGTTTAAAGATTATGAACAGAATAGGTTTAAAGATTATGAATATAATAGTTTTAAAGCTAAATATTTCTCCGGTCTACGGCGGTAAGAAAACAAGTCCAGTCATCCATTCACATTCGTCTTATCTAAGAATGCATTACAAACCTTTTTGTAAAATTAATGGTATTTTTCCATCCTTCCCCTCCCCCCTTCAGCTAGGTTCATTATTTAGAACACATTTAGACGTTTAGATTTAGTTTCTTTAGCTTGCTTAAATATATTTTTTTCTCAAAGGAATTGTTTTGAAAATGTAAAGGTACTGTTGTTGTTACTTTAAGCGATCTTTCATTTCAAGAAGTTGCATGTCCGATTCACAACGGTACCCTTCAAACCTTTATGTGATCAATTATTCAATAGCTGAGAGTGTTAAAGTATAAAAATTTCCTACTTTGTTTCTAAAGCAGAAATGTGCAAACCACTTTATAAAAACCACAATGGAAAATAATAAATTTTCTGGAAGAAGATTACGGATATCATTCTGATCTGACAAAGCTTATGAGCGTACCGTTGTGAATGAGGTATGCCCCTCTTAAATAAAGGTTCACTTGAAATTCTGTGTACTGTCCCTTAACTACCCAGGCTTGATGTTGTTTCCTTGTTTACAGTTCCCACCAAATATTCCTAAAATTTGTACTTTCTCCTCAGTTTATTGTTTTGCAAAATTCTTGAAATTTCATGCAAAATATTGCAATTCATCTGTTTGCTCTTGGTTAAACTTTCAATCTTTATTGTACAATAGAGTCACCCCCCCTCCCTTGACATGATAAAACCTGGAATAACGTTACCCCCCCTTGACATGATAAAACCTGGAATAAAGTTACCCCCCCCCCCCTCCCTTGACATGATAAAACCTGGAATAAAGTTACCCCACCCCCTTGACATGATAAAACCTGGAATAAAAATACCCCCCTCCCCTTACATTACAACCCTGGATTAAAGTCAACCCCCCCCCCATGACATGAAACCTTCAATAAAGTTAAATTACAAGTCAAAACCAGGATAAACCAATATTCAGAAAATTTGTTAATGTCATGTATTTCTACAATTTATCCAATATGTGTACTATACGTTCATGTACAAATTAGTTTTGATATTTGATTAAAAGTAAAACACGTATATCAAGGAAATGATTTTTTAGCATTTCATTTTAATACTGGAACTGGATTCGAATCAGAAAGATTGAACGAGGAACAACTTTAAATAAGATTATCTATGCCTTCTCTTTGGTGGTCCAGCTGTATGTTTTTTATCCTATACATAAAGCTATATTACCAAAGTAAAGGCATAGTTTAGTTCAGCTGACTCCAACACAGACTGGATATACTTTAAACCCATCTTGGATACTTCAAACTCAACCTGGATACTTCAAACTCATCCTAGATACTTCAAACTCAACCTGGATACTTTTAACCCATCTTGGATACTTTAAAACCATCCTGGATACTTCAAGCTCAACCTGGATACTTAAAACCCATCCTGGATACTTAAAACCGATTCTGGATACTTTTAACACATCTTGGATACTTCAAACCTATCTTGGATACTTCAAACCCATCTTGGATACTTCAAACCCAACCTGGATACTTCAAACCTTATGGTTGAAACTTGAAATCCATCCTGGATACTTCAAACCTTATGCTTGAAACTTGAAACCCATCCTGGATACTCAAAACCCAGTCTGTATATTTCAAACCTCGTGCTGGATACTTCTCACATAGAATTGAATTCAAATTTTCAATTAATCAAATTATAATTTATCAAACTCTCGTAATTGTTTTCTTTTAAGTTTTGGTTTCTGATTTAGCAAAATTTTTGTGTCTGTTTTTGAATATTTTATCCAGGATTATCAGATAATTGGGCCTTCATGCAAGATTAATTTTTACATCAAAATTTAGCTTAATGGAGAATATTTTAAGGGACAAATCAAGAAGGGGGGTTTAAAAAGGTTTTATAGCGTAAAAGTCCTTAAAAGCAGAAATAAAAGGTTTTTTAAACCAATTTTGTTGTCTGGACTTGATAATGATTTATCTTAAACTTTGTGATTGGTTTTATTAAAACGTGAAAATATATTTTGTCTGTGTTAAATGGGCATAAAGATGTAACTTGATAAGATTATATTCATTATACAGTTAGCCATTAGCGCAACTAAAAGCTTCGGTCATGCGTTTATAGAACTGCGATTATCTTATCAGAATCATTGGGCATTTTTCAGATCATTGTTCCCCAAATGATTACTCACGTCAATCCCTGATTTTCTAATCCTTATATCTTTGCAACCTAATGTCGCAGACCTTAGGTATTTTAGAATATAAGTTCTGATATATCAAATAATCAAAGTATAGAAATATAAACGTTAATAATAAAGGTTTACAGGTTGCAAAGACATTGGTATGTTAGAATTAGAGTTTGAGACAAGTTATCGGTTCCATACTCAGATTGATTCCCTAATTCTCTCAATTCCGACAAAGGTTTACCTATAGGACACGAAAGATAGTACACAACTTAGGGGTTGGGAGACAAATATAAAATGACAAAAACCTCTCTTTTCCTATCCTCGCAATCTGTGATTGGATTCAAATGTGAAATGACGAACGAATTGATATTCATGAATTGAGAAATAAGGTTTACAACTGGTAAAACTAGACTTGTCTAGGTTTAAGGTTTGCAAATTTGAGTTGTAGACTCCAGGCTGAAAACTATACTGAATGTCTCCTAGGGCTAAGAGTAAGGATGGAGGAAAAGTGCTCCGGGACAAGCTGGAGAGGATTGGTATGCAACTTCCCTCCGGGAGAAGGAAGGCGGCTAATGTAACCCTTCTAACTAGCCTTGTGGAAGGTAAGATACATGATACAGGATACAGAATAAAGGATACAAGAAACAGAATAAAGAATAAAGGATACGAGATACAGGGTACAGAATAATACATTATACAGAATAAAGGATAAATGATAAAGGTTAAAGGATAAAGGATAAAGGATACAGGATACAGGGTTTAGACTAAACATGATACAAAATACAAGGAAACATGCAGGATACTGGATCTAGGGATACATATGATATACTATACAAGAAACAGGATATAGGCTGCAGAATACAGAATACAAAATGTAGTATAAATAGTAGAAAAAGGATAAAAAATTAGTGCACGGCTTAAAAATTACATACATACATGCAGGGGACAGACAAAAATGCATAAAATACAATGGATTGAGGAAATCTCAAAATAAACAATGAATTAAATTCTTCTGAAAACTCTTCGTTTAAACAATAATTGGTGTATTAAGCCGCATACAATCACACTTTTTGACCAGTTAACCCAGTGGATAATTTGCAAGGTTTTTACTCGCGAAAAGGGTTCAATAAAAATTCCATGAATTTAGGATTTTTCAGGTTTTAAAATTGAAACAATCCTTGCCCTCGGGACAGGGTTTGAAAAACACCCTTCAGTATACCCTAGTATACACTATAATATACATGTTCCACCTTTTTTGTTCCGAGTTCAACAAAATATCTGGAGAAAAACATGGATTTTCAACGTGCTGTCATTTTGTTAAAATTGTATGCTTTACTCTGTGAAAAGTCTGGAATTTGAACAACTTGATTATGGGTTTGAAGACAATGGCTTCGAGATTTAAGTGTTTTGTAATCTTGTCATCGGAGCAGAAGGGAGAGGAGGAAGGATTGTTAGATCTATAAGGTTCATCTCGCTAGGTAGGTTGAATACCTAGATGGGGATAATGATAGATTATCCGAGATATGTTTGCAAACCTTGGCTAGTACAATCCTTCCACTCTATATGAAGATGAACTGGAGAATGGATTATATATCTCTCTAAAGGTATTATATATCTCTCTAAAGGGATAATATATCTCTCTTAAATGGATTATATATCTCTCTAAAGAGATTATATATCTCTCTTAAAGTGGATTATATATCTCTCTAAAGGGATTATATATCTCTCTTAAAGTGATTATATATCTCTCTTAAATGGATTATATATCTCTCTAAAGGGATTATATATCTCTTTTAAAGGGATGTTATATCTCTCTTAAAATGATTATATATCTCTCTTAAAGGGATTATATATCTCTCGATGTGGATTTTATTACTCTCCCAATGGATTATATATATATCTCGAAAGGTATTGTATATCTCTATGGAGAGTGTATATCTCTCTAAAGGTATTGTATACGTCTCTGCATAGGGGTTGCATATCTCTCCAATGGGATTGTATCGTGTATATCTCTTGATGTGGATTGTGACTTTAATTCCAAATCAGGCTCATTTTAAAGAGATTTAGGAAGTATTCACAACCCTGTTATAGAACAGTTCGCCATTTTGAAAATGGTTGAATAGATGCTGTAATGAAGAATTGTTGTAAATTAGGCTAACAGACCTCTTAATATTATTTTTTGTTTAGGATCGTATTGGCTCCTTAGCGTCTGCAAGCTCTCTCTCTTCTTCAACAAGAGTTAGTTTATCAGAGTTCCAATCCCCATACTTTCCTCCCTTCTCACAGAGCGATGTATTCGCATCCCTCCCAACCCTTACCTCACCCCTCCCCTCCTCATCCACCCTCACCCTTCAACCCTCAGATTTCCATGTGGTTAGTTCAACCCTACAAACCTTTCAACAGCGAGCATCAGGGATTCAAACCTCATCTCCGGTTATTCTGACAACCGTCTCCTCTCCAACATTCTCTTACGACTCCGTCCGACGAGAGCTGGCAAATAGGACGGAACTTATCTCCAGGACCTCGCTGGACTCACATCTAGTCTCCAGGTCTTCCTTGGACTCCCAGGACTCCATCACACATTCCCTGTCTAGCCCCGTACACCAGGAGGACCAGCATATGGAGGAAGAGTTTATCAGGTTCATTTCTGTATATTTTAAAAACCGATCTAACGGCCATTGATTGAATTAGTAAAAAAATGAACACTTACTTCAAACTTCTGTTTCTTTGCAACCTGTCTGTGTAAAAAAAAACTTGACATTTTAAACTATTTCTGGATATAGCAGCATTTATTGTTTGTACTATTTAAGGTCTCTACATCACGTCACAAAAATAAAAGGGTTCGAAACTAGAATATAAGGAAAGTAATGTATTAGCTAACTAGCATGATCCAGAGGTTTTCTTTATATTTATTTGAACTTTTTTTTTACTTTTGGGAACCAAACGACACCAATTTGGGAAATGCCATTTGGGTGTAAAGTTGGGAGGTGTTTAGCTTAAATTTTTTTTTCATGATTGTACTGTCGTCGTATATGTCGTTTATGCAATGAAGACGACTTTCGATTTCGATTTTTGTTTTATACCAAGCTTTCAAACAGCTTGGATACACTTAAACATGAAAAAAGAAAAGCTGTCCAGAAGCAGTCTCTCATTTTTGCTTTTAAACTTGCAAGTTGAGAAAAGCTTGCTAGAAATCAAAACTTGAATAGAAAAATCGTCTTCTTTATATTGATATAAACGCCGAGCATTGTACTGCATTAAAGTTGTGCAAAGATATATGAACAGGTTGGGACGGTTCTAATGAGGTGTTAAAAGAATGGGAAACTTTTATTCCCAATATTGGCGCGGGTTTATGGCATATTTATGGCTAGTAAAAGGTTTATACCCTCCACGAGATTTAACTTATTTATTCAAATCCGCGAGACCATGTTCATATATATGACGTGTACTGTTGTCTAGGGGTAGGGATATCAGCATGAAGGAGAATATGATGATGGCTGCTCTACCAAACGATATTTTTTGCTCAGTTCCAGGTCGTCTTTCTCTCCTCTCATCAACTTCGAAATATAAGGTAAGTTGTTAAATTGATGAAATCCTCGAAAGTTTTGAAAAATCCACTAAATTAATCTAAAACGTAATATTGAAAGGACTTGATTCAGATTTAAATCCAATGTTAGGAGTTTCAGAATTGTTTTAATAAACTTACAAAAAAAAAAAAAAAGAATTAAGCCTTTGCCACAAACTCTGATTTTCTAATCTCCATATCTTTCCAACATAAATATTTCAACTATGAATTCTGTTAGTTCAAATAATCTAAGTTGGAAATATCTAAGGTGTACAACATCAGGATGCTAAGATATAGGGATTAGAAAATTTTAGTTTTTGACAAAGACACAATTCATTTATTTTGATTTATCTGAAACGTAATGTTGAAAGGACTTAAATGGTTCAGATTCAAATCCAATGTTGGGAGATTTAGAATTCGAGTTTAATAATTTAAAATTATATATTTTTACTCTTTTTGCTGTTTTAATTCAATTTCTATAAAGATTACGGTCGCAGGTTTTTTTATATAATAAATAGATATGTCAATTAAGTTAGAGTTTTGAATGATTCTGTTCAAAATCTTATGAAATTAGGAAAGAAAACTGGTTTATAAACGAAAAAAAGCTTTGCTTAAAAATTCTTTCCAATAAAAATTCCTTGGAAACGAAATTAAACAATAAACAGTCGTGGAGAACGGTTTCAAATAATCATAAACAAATTATTAGGTTAACGCCCCAGCTTTTAAACATTTTAAAAAGTAAATAATGAACAAAAATTTTACTGAAATATTTTAAGGTTACAGTTGCTGAGGTACAACGTCGGCTCTCTCCCCCAGAATGTTTAAATGCGTCGCTGCTAGGTGGCGTTCTTAGAAGGTAAGATATTTTTCAATTTTAGATATTGAGCTTTTCCTTTATCGCTGCATTCATTTTCACTTGTATTCAATCCCTATCCTGTATTCCATATATATCTCCTGTATTCCATATATATCTTCTGTATTCCATGTAAAATCTCCTGTATTCCATATATATATCTCCTGTATTCCATATATATCTCCTGTATTCCATTCCTGTCTGCATTCCATCCCTATTCCTCCTACGCCTCCATTTTGCATATTTAAAACACCTAGTTTGCGTATTTCCTTCGCACGGTAGAAATTTCAGTTTTTCCCCTTATTTATTACCGACCTCTGGTTCCTCACGTTCTATCAATTCATTCATTTTACTTACCACATTATTCAACTTACACTCACTCTTCTATTCTAATTCTATCACTTCTCTTCCGATGTAGCTTTCATTGAACTGAGTTTGGCAGCCTAATTATTTTTAGTTTTTTTAACAAATATTTTAATTGACAATTATCTTAATGATCAATTCGTTATGACGGAGTCAGATCAATCAAATCTGAGAACTAAGATTTGGTTTGAAAATCTTAATCAATATTGAAAATCTCGACTAATATAGAATATACCAACGTCTTAAAACTTATCGGCGACGAAAATTATTCCATATGACAGTTTGAAATATTTGTTGATAATTTGATCAATTTCGGAGTTATCGGAGTGGTCGATATATCAGGGGCGTACGGGGGGGGGGCTCTTTTAATATTACATCTGCTTGCATTTCCCTTCCTCAGGCAATCTACATTCTACATTGCATTGCGTTGCACTCACTCAGTCCCAAACTAAAAGATTAAGAAAATAAATTAATCATATCTGACCATTTCCATATCAGGATAAATATTTATTTTAGGAGCCAGAAACTACTTTTTAAGTTACTTTGCAACAGCAATCAGGAACCACACATAAATGGTGGATTTGATTTTGAGAGAGATTTTCAGAGAGAACTGAGAGGGGCGACATGCCAAACCCCCCCCCTCATTAAAAAATTGAAGAGTAGAATATCAGAGTTATACAGTTTTTAAATCTCTTCTCCAGATTTTTGGAGAAATGCATGCATTTCCTGTCATTCCCAATTAGTCCAAACTCTATTTCAGTTAAATAGTTAAAAAGGTAAAAAAGATATCAATATTTTTTCAAAAAAGGGATTTCTTAGGGGGGGGGCAAATTTTGCCAAGGAGGGCACAACATTTTTTTGCGCGCAAAATGTGCCTCCCCTACATAAATGCTCTCGTACGCTCCTGGTTTATATAACTGTAAAAAGAACAGTATTGAGCTGTACAAAACGGGCCGGTGTTAAAAGAACGTGTTTAAAAAGATTGTCGAGTTGGATTTTTGCAAAGTAATTTTGCACCATTTATCTTGGAAGGAAGTGAAAGGACGAGGATGGATTATCATTGCTCCATGGACTGAAAGGATCCGAAGGAACCAAGTTTTAAACGTGTCTCATTTATCCCGAGTTTCTAAACCTTTCTCCGAACCCGGTGTTCCGTCCTAAACCCGGAGAACCCAACCAACACTAAACTATAATCCTGGAACATTTATCATCCACTCATAACAAACTGTTCAAGAGGACCAGTGTGGAAACTTATAAAGGAGGAGGGGTTGGCGGGGGGGGGGGATTAAAGATTTAGGTTCCCAGAACTCAGACGAGGGGGAGGGGGCAATGAATAAAATTATCCCAAGATTTATGTGATGTTCATTCGGTCCGTCGCAAATAAAAGTCTGATATCTTGGTGTAATTAAAATGGTTAAAAATGCGACATATCTAAAAGTTATGTGACTATTACCGGGTATCTTAGCTCCTATACTTGTAAATACTCTTAATGCACAATGCACATATGTCGTTGTTTGTCTTATCAGATGCGGCAGGGAGGGCGTAACAGAGGACATTGGGGAGGGGAGGAGGCGTAGATAGGAGGTTCTATTAGAGAGTAGGGGCGTAAATAGGAGGTGTGTAGGGGCGTAGAGAGGTTTTATTAGAGAGGAGGGGTTCACATGGGAGGTGTTATTAGAGAGTAGGGGTGTAAAAAGGAGGTGTTATTAGAGAGTAGGGGCATAGATAGGAAGTTTAAATAGAGAGGAGGGGTGTAGATAGGTGGTGTTTTAAATAGCTTAGAGGCGTAAATAGGGAGATGTAATAGGGATATGTCATTTACATTTACATTTATCATTGTATAATTTCCGACACTTATCTTCAAATTTATTTTTTAAAAGTACTTCACCAATCATTTTTTGTCGTGTCACTGTTCAATTTGTTAAATTTTCTTTTATTTAAAGTGAAATTTTCAAATTTGGGATTGTTGATAAATTTAAGAGGGTGCAGGAGGGGGGGGGGGGTGGGGGGGGACGATTTATTGTTATAATAGTGATTACAATATTCGGGATGGGAGGGAGGGGTTGGGGGGTTAAAGGGAAGGATTTGCTAGAGCCAATTAGACAAACGAAAGTAATAAATGCGGGGTAGTTTAGGGGGGCGGGGATTCGATGCCTGAAACTCAATTAAAATATTAGACATAAAACGTGGGGGGTTGGAGGACGGGAGTATTATTAGAAATTCCTGAATCTTGGCAGACTCGGTGTCAAACTATATGTTGGTATATCTATTTAAACACTTTCATACGTAAAAAGCGTCCATTTTATAAACGCTACTCTACTTTTATACTTTCTTGGATGATTCAGATGTTTTGCGTTTTTAATTTGATAGATTAAGATATTCACTCACAATTAGGAATGATTATAAATTTGATTAATTTTTGAATTATTTTCAAGTTTAAAATCCTTGCATGTTTTTCATGATGGAATAATTAGTTTCAGAAGCTAGAGTTTTAATACTTTGTAGGGATGAGGATCGTTTTTCGGTTCGTTTTCAATCGTTTTTTTTACTTTTTATGATAAATCGTTTTACTTTTTTATTGATTAAACAAATTTTTAACAATCTGTGCTTTATGAAAATTTATAGAGAATATAATTTTAAAATATGAATATCATCTCAAATTATTAAAAGGGAAAAACGTTACATGTCTAAAACCAAACAAAAAATGATACCCTCTTTAATTATGCTTTGCAAGCCTACCTACTGTACACAAGCATAAACTTTTTCGAGTAGTTTTTTTGTATCCTTGGGTCGGTTGACAAGTGACAAATTAAGTTTTGACCAATTCTGGAAATGTTAAATCCCACTCAATTCGCTACGAATCTAGATACAATCAAGGAAAAATGTTAATTAAAAATTCGTCCTTTATATATTTATGGTTTTATCTAGGGGAGGCGATCCACCTGGCCAGAGACTTCGGTTACGTGTGTGAGACAGAGTTCCCAGCCCGGCAGGTTGCGGAGTATCTGACAGGACGGAGTACGGATATTGCAGAGCAGTATCGGAGAAAAGAATTGTTGGTTGCAACCAAGTAAGAACTCTTTTTAAAACTCTCAAATTTCTTTCTCTTTTTTATTTTCTCTACTGCTACATCAAAATCAAAATATATATATTTTTTGCAATTTTAATGAAATATGCAATATTTTTGTTGTAATTTCAAGTGTGCAAAATGCTTGCAGAAACATCTGCAACAAATAGTAATCTTGGCTGTTTCTATTATATAGAAAACCCGTAAAACAAGATAAATTGATCTTATGAAGAAAGATATAATATTAGCACGAACCGTAATTAAATTGTAAATAGTTGATTTTAATCTTAAAGGGACAATATGCGTAATTTCAAGTAATCATTTTTGCAAAGATGGCAATTTCTGATTCACAATGGTACCTTTAAAAGTTTTTTCTGATAAAAGTATTTTTTCTTTTTTTGTTGCGCAAATATATGGAAATTATTAGAATTAAACCCTTTTATACCTTGAAAACTATCAGATAAAGGTTTCAAGGGTACCGTTGCGAATCGGGCTTTGCGATTTTTAAATGGAGGGTCTCTTAAAATTACGCTTACAGTCCCTTTAAATAGGCCAGGGGGTTCCTTATTATTCTACAATTTTTAAATGTTAAATTGTTTATTTTTGAATTCTGGATAATATCTGAAACGCTAGAATGATTCTTTAATAGTGTTTAAGCATCAAATGAAAAGATAATTGAAGGAGTTAATTTTAACTTAATTAGGGGTTAAGAATCATTTATTGTTTAAGTAATTTTTTTACTATATTCAACATTCATTATATATAATTAAAGTAAATTAGTTGGGAATAAATAGTAGTGGGTTTCATCATTTATTCATCCAATAGGTAATAAAAACTATAGTTTTAGTTCGTCATTTGATCGAACTTTTTGAATGTTACCATATCTAATTCTGTAAAACGAAATAAAATCGTACTGTATAGGTATATTCAGCATGTACAATAATTAAGTATAGTTCGGAACATTAAATAGATAGACATATATGTTATATATAGTCCGTGTGTGCGTATCGGTAGTCTGGGCTAATTTTGCGGATTAACTGCATCGATTTTCCCGGGTTTCTGCATTCAATGACTACAAACATTTCAAGATCTAAATTTTGATATTTAGAGTATAAAAGGCATTTTAATGGTTGTACCTAAACTTGATCCGAAGTTAGGTTGCAGGATTATATCTAGGACTTGATAACAATTTTTTGTTGGGTTTCGAGATTTCAATGTTTCTTTTCCTCCTCTTTTTATATATCTACCTCTTCCCATTCCTTTTATTTAGGGAGATAGATAGAATGGGATAGAGAGATAAAAAGTTTGACAGGTTGCATTTATCCTAAAATAAAATGCATTTTTAAATACAAGGATAAAATCTTATGCACATTTTTGCTTGATAGACCAGTAATAGGACTGCAAAAAAACTATAAACCTTTGGAGGAATGCCAGGGACTAGTCAATCAATCATTCATTCAATGAATTTGACTTAAGATGAATGAATTTCTGTATATATATAAGGATGAATGAATTTCTGTATAAGGATGAATGAATTTCTGTAGAAGGATGAATGAATTTCTGTAGAAGGATGAATTGATTCCTGCATAAGAAATGAATCAATTCCTGTATAAGGATGAATGAATCTGACTTAAGATTAATGAAGTCCTGTTTAAGGAAGGAAGAATTACTGTATGACGATGAATGAATTCCTTTATAAGAATTAATAAATTCCTGTATACGGATAAATGAATTCATGTAAAGAGATTAATGACATTTTAACGATAATTGAATGAAAGAAACTTTGATTTTAATAAGCGCTTCTAAAAGCCCGAAATAGATTTGTATTCTTTATCTTTTCTGACTGATGAATGAACACATATTTATAAAATGTTTTAGGTTGGTCACAAAGGAGTTGATGGATCTATTGAACCAGGATAGATCTCCTCTCTGCAACACCCGTCCTGCAATCATCCTAGATCCTAGTATACAGAGACATCTAACCCATTTCTCCATGATTACACACGGTTTCGGTTCTCCAGCTATAGTTGCTGCTCTTACGGCTATCCAGGTACGGTAAATCTGTCTTTAGTTATGTCTCGTCAACAGTTCTTAAATTTTTCTGTCATTTGATATTAAATGTAAATTTTTAAATGTAAGTTTTTGAAAGGGCATGTTCTTGGCCGAGCGCTGCAGCACGGGCGTGGGGGGGGGAGAGAGCCGTAGCTTTGATACGTTAAGGGCTGACCACTGCGGCTAAGAATTTAAGAATTTTCATCTAGGACCAAATTCCAAATGGAATTTTTCAAAAAAAAAAAATAATATCAAAAAAATATTTTGTTGCAGAATTACTTGAGTGAGAGTTTGAAATGTCTGGATAAGAGTATCCCTAACAGTTCTCTACCCCTCCACCACCACCTGGACTCTAAATCAAGTCTGGAGACAAAACTGCTCATCAATTCTCACCTCAACTCCCTTGACAAGAAATCATAAACTGCTTTGGGTCCAGGTCCAGCTCTAGGCCTGGTCCATGTCAAGCCTTAGGTCTAGGTGTAGTAGGGAAAAGTACTGTAAAGTGTACTGCAGTGCCCTAGATGAATGTAAACAAACTCAGTTGTATCTACTGTGAGGAATATAAACACTGCAGTACAGTTAAGAATGCCCTGAGCAAGGTTATAATTCAAGGAAAGTTATTTCAGAGGTGTACGCATCTTTTGTTCTGCAGTGTACTGTCTCTGGGCGGTAATGTAAACACAAGACGAATGTCGAAGCCTGACATTGGATCCATCTTTCACATAAAAAAAAAATCAATGAAATATTCTGGTCATAGGAAACTATTCTGTGAATTATCAATATTATAAAAACTTAATGCTTTTATACCTCCTAGGATACTAAACGAACACTGATGCATCCATTCTTGTTTACAAATTCCACCCAGAGAGAACTGTTTTTAATATGTACGTAACTGCAATTAGTTTTCCTTGCATTATAACCTTGTGTCCCTGAATTTTCGGAGAGACTCTCGGAGACCCTGATAGACCTTGAGAGTCCCTAAGAGTCCTGAAAGACCCTGAGAGTCCCTAATAGACCCTGAGAAGGGGTTTAGTTGTTTTTTGCAAGCTAGTCAATTATAAACTTTATACCTTTAGGGGTATAAAGTTTAAAGAAGGAACCTTAACACCGCAATTCATCGCTTTCCTGGCTCAAGATATATTATATTCAAATTGTACAATATTTTGTACTGTACTTGTTGTTTTTGCCTTACTTATTTATTACGCTCCTTTTTACTTGTACACCGCCATGTACAGAGATTACGATGGAATAATCATAATTTGCATATTGTCATGTTGTAACTAAATTTTATGTTTTAAGTAAATCTTTTTTATTGAATTGTTAAATTTTAACCCTGATATAATCTTCTGTTGATGTTATTAAGTAGAATCTCAAATTTAGCCAAGTACAAAATTTTCTCCTTGGATTGCATTTTAGCGACATATTTATATGTATAATTGTTACTTATTTTTCCTCATTCAGTTTAATGCTTTCTGTACATACACATTTTTGCTTTTAACTTCTTAAGAATTTTTTTCCACCTGCTGAAAGCTCGGTATATCCGACTTAAACCAAGCCTGAAAAATGCTCAATTGTAAATAATCTCTTGTGACCGCGTTATAATCAAAATATTATAAATATAGTTCAATAAAATAAAACAATAAAATAAAACAATAAAATATATGTCGACAGAGAAGTTAGGTTGTAATAATAAGATATGAAATAAGAAATTAGATTAAGCAACTATTGAACTCGTTTTATCAGATACAAATAAGTCCACTAATTCCCCAATATGCATATTATATCATTATTATATCTTAATTATATTGTTCAAATTTTGCTGAAAGGGAACAAGATATTGGATTTGTCTAGAAATGTTGTTAGAAAAGAGGGTAAAATCTACAAACTCCTAGCTTATTAATATCATGAACGGAAATAAATTTTATTTTGAAAATCCTTACTAACTTCATTATGCTCCGTCCTATTATTTTAACTCCGTGGCCTAATTTCTTACTGCACTGTCCTATTTGAGCTATCTTCATGACCTAATTTCCTAATATTCTAGCTCCGAGTTCTAAATTCCAACTGTTCCTTCCTAATTTTCTAGTACTACGAAAAACTTCCTATTGACCCGACCAACTATTCTACCTCTGTGAAGAAACTTCCTCCTGCTCCGTCTTCTAACTTCCTACTATTCTCTCCTACTACTCTAGCTCTTTTGAAATTTAAATTATAGCTATAGCTCCGTGTTCTTACTTCCCCGTGCTCCATCCTATTAGTCTAGCTCCATGATCTTACTTCCCCTTGCTACGTCCTATCATTTTAGCTCTATGTTCTTTCTTCCCCCCCGCTCCGTTCTATTATTCTAACTTCATGTTCTTACTTCCTACTACTCTGTCCTATTATTCTAGCCCCATGTTCTAACTTCCTACTACTCCATCCTATTATTCTAGCTCCATGTCCTAACCTCCCCCTACTCCCGTTTTTTTATTCTAACTCCATGTTTAAACTTCCAGCTTCTCCATACCACTTTTCTGGCTAAACGAACTAACTTCCCCCTACTCCGTCCTTTTATAGCTCCATGTTCAAGCTCCATACTGCTCCGTCCTATTATTCTAGCTCAGTGTCCTAACTACCTACGGCTTCGTCCTATTATTCGAGTTCTATATGTTCTAACTTCCCCCTGCTCTTCTTATTATTCTAGCTCCATGTTCTTACTTCCGCTTGCTCCGTCCTATTATTCTAGCTCCAAGTCATAACCTCTCCCTGCTCCGTCCCATTATTCTAGCTCCATGTCATAACCTCCCTCTGCTTCGTCCTATTATTCTAGCGCCATGCTCAAACTTCCCCCTGCTGCGTCCTAATATTCTATCTCCATATTCTAACCTCCCACTGCTTCTTCCTATTATTCTAGCTCCATATTCTAACTTCCCCCTGCTTCGTCCTATTATTCTAGCTCCATGCTGTAACTTCCACCTGTACCGTCCCATTATTCTAGCTCCATGTTCTAACCTCCCCCCGCCTCGTCCTATAATTCTAGCTCCATGTTCTAACCTCTCCTGCTCCTTCCTATTATTCTAACTTTATGTTCTAACCTGCTCCTTCCTATAATTCTAACTCTATGTTCTAACCTCCCTCTGCTTCGTCCTATTATTCTAACTCCATGTTCTAACTTCCCCCTGCCCAGTCCTATTATTCTATCTCCATGTCCTAACTTCCCCCTGCGCTGTCCTGATTAGTTTACTCCGCCTGTATGATGTTCCACACTCTAACTAATAATCGTAATAACTCTTGAATTCGTTGTGTTTCATGCTGACTATATATCCGCCCTCTTCCTACAAGAACATGTATTTAAGATTGAACTCAAGCTAATATCATATTTTTCTCTTCAATAATTTTATGCAGGCAAACTTTGAATGTAGGGTTGAGTAGATTTACTCCGGGTAATAAGGGTTCTTCGTATAGTACAGGGTGTCCCAATAAACATGGGAATTCAGTGACGAATTCGATATCGTCTTTTTAAAAAATTCTTTGATTTAGTATAGTGATACCTACTGAGAAAGCTATAATCCATAAGATTTTCGTCTGCTATGTTTACAATTTGTTTGTTTATGTTTTGACTGCATACGGTTGTACTTAGTAAAACAAGAAAATTACAGTATACAAACAGAGTAAACTTGTCCGTCTTCACTGTTCATCTTGCGGAGACATTATAGACACATCTTTACAGCCATTTACCGTTTTCATAAAATAAACTCTAGCAGACATAATAATATATGGCTGTTGAAATCAGGTATCACAATGCTAATGTATAACAAAGACGATATCGAATTCGTCACTGAATTCCCATGTTTTTTGGGACACCCTGTATTTACATCCCAGGGTTTGATATTAATAGAATCCTCCGAGTGCTGCATTATATCACCAGTCATAAGATTCACCCCTTGAAGTGTAAACAGGGAAGGACTTAAAGTTTAGTTCCGGGTACCAAGGATATCACAGAGAAGGATATATTTACTCCGGGTACCTAGGACATCACAGAGTAGATTATATTTACTCCGGGTGCCAAGGACATCACAGAGAAGGATATATTCACTCCGGGTACCTAGTACATCACAGAGTAGATTATATTTACTCCGAGTACCTAGGACATCACAGAGTAGATTATATTTACTCCGGGTACCTAGGACATCACAGAGTAGATTATATTTACTCCGGGTACCTAGGACATCACAGAGTAGATTATATTTACTCCGGGTCCCTAGGACATCACAGAGTAGATTATATTTACTCCGGGTCCCTAGGACATCACAGAGTAAATTATATTTACTCCGGGTACCTAGGACATCACAGAGTAGGTAATATTTATTTTGGGTAGACAGGAATTAACAGAGAAGGTTAAATTTACACCGGGTACCCAGGACAGAACAGAGTGGGTTATGTTTACTCCGGGTACCAAGGAAATTAAAGAGAAGGATATATTTACTCCGGGTACCAAGGAAATCAAAGAGAAGGATATATTTACTCCAGCTACCAAGGACATCACAGAGAAGGATGTATTTACTCCGGGTACCAAGGACATCTAAGGAACGAAATATTTACTCCAATTACTAGAGAACATTTGAAACTAATAGCTCGGATGGATTTACTCCGGGTACATTTAAAACCATTAAGTCGACCGGTCTGACTCCTGGTACAGTTGAAACTAGGAGGTCAAACGAGCGTACATTATGTCGGATTTTATTGTAATTGGTTTTAGTGAATCTCAGATCCCTTCAATATGAAAAATAAAGTCTGTAAGATTTGTAAAAAAAATTGTTAATAAAAAACCTTGATACACTGAAGCTCATCGTGTTTTGTTGGAGGGGGGGGGGGTGTTTTGGACCACTATATATACTTTTCTCAATATATATACAGGCAATAAACTGAATCCGTGTTTATTTGATAATCTTCTTATAGGCCGGACCCGACATCAAACAACACCATGTTTGGGATTGAACAATTTACAGAACAGGCAGATATATATTTATATATAGACGTGATAAGCATTATATTATGTGTGGAGATATACACTGTACAAGGAGAAGGGGGTTTCTGATTATACGTCCTTGTGTTCTCTAGATATCTGTCCTCGTGCTCTATTGTAATCCGTCCTTGTGCTCTCTAGTTCTTAATCCTCGTGGTCTCTAGTTCTCTGGTTATCTGTTCTCTAGTTCTCCAGTTATCCGTCCTCTCGTTCTTCAGATATCCGTCCTCGTGCTCTTTAGTTTCCTAGTTATCCCTCCTCGTGGTCTCCAGTTCTCTAGTTATCCGTCTTCAAGTTCTTTAGTTATCAGTCCTCTACAGTTCTCTAGCTATCCATCCTTTAGTTCTCTAGTCATCCATCCTTTAGTTCTCTAGTTCTCTATTTATCCGTCCTCGTTATCTTTAGTTATTCGTCCTCTAGTTCTCTAGTTATCCTTTCTCTAGTTCTCTATTTATCCGTCCTCGTTCACTTTAGTTATTCGTCCTCTAGTTCTCTAGTTATCCGTCCTCGTGCTCACTAATTATCCGCCCAAAAGTTCTCTAGTTATTCGTCCTCTAGTTCACTAGTTATCCTTTCTCTAGTTCTTTTGTAATCCCTCCTGTTCTCTTGTTATCCATCCTGTACT